TAAAACAGGAAAGGTCTGATTTTGTTTTGAGAAGTAAGTCTTACAGATGTTCAAGGCAAGCCTATTTTAGACCTCAGTCCTTTCTGTTACCTCTCAGGCATATCTGTAAGAAGGATTTCTACCTCCCAAACCCATCCACCCACCCATCATTATTTTTCTGGAGATAACCCTTAAGAGACAATCCACTCCACTCTGAGCAATATCCTGACTCTAAGCTATTACCCTCTATCTAAGCCAAAGTGTATATAATTAATGCCTTCAGCTTCCCTAACTCTTCTATAATCTCACTAACTTGTTCTTACTACTTTGACTCCTATGAATTACTTTTCATCTTCTTAGTTCTACCTAGCTGATGGCATACTTTTATGTATTAGCAGACAGAAACACAAACCTCAGAAAAACTACACAGACAGGAAAAGTTAATAATAATAACTGCTACCATATATTGACTGGGCACAGTACTTTATAAAGTATCTTGAATTCTTATGGCAGTCCTGATACTGTCGGACAAATTTTATAAATGAGGAACCCAATCCTGAAAGAGGTAAGATAACCTGTTGAATATTACTCAATTAGTTTATTCTTTTTTTTTTTTTTTTTTGGTACCGGGGATTGAACTCGGGACCTTGCACTTGCAAGGCAAGCACCAAAACCACTGAGCTAAATCCCTGGCCCCTTACTCAATTAGTAATTATAGCTGAAATTTAAGTCCAGATCTGCCTAACTTCAAAGCCCACATTTCTTCTACTCTGCCAAAAATTAAGTGTTGACTCTGTTCTCCCAGCTTCCACTCTTTTCCTCTATCCCAGTATTCTGTTTTCCAGAATAAACCTTTGCTTAAATATTCACGCTTTGCTCAGATCCCTCCAATGGTTACTGTCTTGTCTAACAGCCTGTGCTTTGTCCACCACCTATCTCTTCCTCAATTAGCTATGTTATCATTGTTCATTTTCCCAGAATTTCCTTCAACCATACTCAAGCCTGTTCAAACCTCAGTCTTTGATTTTACTGTATTACTCTCTGCCTATAATACTTTCTCCTTTTCATGTTGAAACTCTCTCATTTTCTGTAGGTCCCTGCTCAAATGCTACCTCCTAAATGGAATCTTCCTGACAATCTATTTTAAACTGCTATTTCCTAACCTCAGTACTCCAATCCCCCTCTTGTTACTTTATTTTTTCTTCTAAATTATTTATTACCACTTTACATTGTGTATTTATTTTTTCATTGTTTGCCTCCCATTACTAACACTTAAGCTCAATGAAAACAAGGACTCTGTATATTCTATTCACTGTATCTGGTGTACAGTAAGTATTGACATTTATTGAATGAATAAATGGGGAGCACAACTTTATTTTTATAGGTATTTAAATGAAAATAATCTCAACTACACTTTCCAGAAAACAAACACAAAGGCAACTTTCCTTTGTTCCAGTCTCCAACATTACCTTTAAATATTTTTTAAATATTTTTTCCTTAGTTCTGGATAGTCATGTCACTGAACAAATTGAGCATACAAGCCAACTTAACCAGTCTATAGTATTATAATCAAATAAAACTTACAATAAAGTTAATCAGACACATATTTAATGATATGCATAATTGTTATTGTGCTGCACGGTAACTAGGCATAAATGGTAGACACTTCATGTAAATGACTCTAATTACTATTTCTTTTACACAGCCAAACCAAGCATGTCTATGATCAGCTTCTGGGAAAAACAGGAAGGAGGGGACTTGACGTGGAGATGAGTCCTCCCTTATTCTATCCTTAGGAATTGGTCTCCCAGCCTGGGTTATGAGTCTTCAAGAAGGGTAACTTCCCAGCCAGGGATTTAGCTCAGTGGTTCTGCCTCCTGCCTCACAAGCACAAGGTCCTGAGTTTGATCCCCAGTACCAAAAGGGGCGGGTAACTTCCCTTCTGAAAAAGGAGAGGCTTCCTTTAATCAAAGATTTAGAAATGAGGGTGGGGGACCTGGCCTCTGTTTCCAGTCACAAAAGGTGAGAAGAACAAGAAACAATCTCTAATTTATGTCTCTGGTAAGGAAGATGAAGGCAGGTAAACTGATGGGGAAACCAAGTAAAAAGATGATTATGTTTTATATTAGATGTTCCCCCAAAAAGCGTCATGTACTCATAGGTGGAGCTTTTGAAAGGTGACTGAATTACAGAGCCACTACAGTTAAATGTGATCTTAGAAAGAGTTGGTTGATTGGGGTCATGACCTATCCCTTTGCTCTCTGCTTCCTGGCTATGATAATTTGAGATTTCCTTGCCCAGGCCCTTCCATCCTCCTGATGACATTTCAAGGACTGAAATTTCTGAAACACGAGCCTAAATGAACTTCTCCTCCTTTAAGTTGTGTCAGGTTCTGTATCTCAGTGATGAGGAAAGTGACTAAGACACTGGTCAAACTTATTAAGGACACACTATATGCCACATACACTAATAAATGCCTCACACACACACTAATAAATGTCTCACATAATTCTAATTATTTCCCTAGCCCACCTATACCCCCAAACTCTGTTCCCAAGAAAGTAAAAGACTGAGCAGACTAGGGGAGGGAGGGAAAAGAAAGGGGGTAAAAAAGGAATTAAGATGTGTTAACGTACCTGTACCAACTTCCCACAAGGAATGTAAACATGCTACACACATATACTAATACATTAAAATTTAAAAATTTTAAAGACAAAAAAGGAAAGACTAAGCAGATTATGTAATCAAGGATTCCCTGTTTTCAAACTCTCTCACAGAGCCTATGTCACCAGAGAAGGTTATAGAGATTAAGAAGAAGCTATTGATTAATGGTTATTATCTTGCTTCCTATCTTATCGAAACCCACAAGTGGATAAGGCTTTCCTATAGGTCTATCCAATCCTACCAAGTTTTAACAGTCTGGACTAAACCTACCCTGTCTCTGGAACATCATCCCAATTCACTGAACTTCTCTCTCCCACTGCATTTCCTTTTGGGACATGCACTTGGGTATAAACCATTTACTTTGTATCATCTTGTAATTAATTTCTTAGGTAAATGTTTATTTCCCCCAATGAGACCACAAGCTCCTTAAGGGCAGAAATCTTGTCTTAAACTTCTTTAGTAAGCCACATAATGCCCACCACCATTATTAAAAACAAGATATTAGGAAAGTATTTGGATGAATTCAAGGTATATAAGAATAAATAGTAGAAATCCTATTTCTAGTTCTAGGTAGACAAGCTGGCCTTAAAAAGAATCTAGATAGCTTAAAGCAAATGGGACTACAGTGGTACCTCGGTTCACAAATGCTTTTGCTTGCAAACAATTTGCTTCTCAAACAGAAATGTTTGGCAAAATTTTGATTTGGTTTTTAAATTCTGCACTGGGTGACAAACACGACCACAGCCATCTTTCCCACGTGCACACAAACATGGCCATCTTTTACAAAACCATAGAACAAATTAAGTTCATGAACTGAGGTACCACTGTTATCTGTGGGAAATAACCTCAGAATACACTATTCTTGGTAAATAATCCCAAAATACAGCAATAACTTTACACATAATAGCCTCGATATCATCTAATTATATAAGGCAACAGGAAAACATTCTAAATATACAACAGTTAAGTAAATGTAGGCAATTCACATTACAGTATATTACATATTAAAAATATTTTTACAGGGCTGGGGATTTAGCTCAGTAGTTCTACCACCTGCTTCATAAACACAAGGTCCCAAGTTTGATACCCGGTACCAAAAAACTTTTACAAATAACTAGTAAGATGGGGAAGATGCTAAAAGTTCAAAAAACAAAATAAAAAATTTGACAGTCATATCTCTATATAAAAAACCTATCCGCAATAGATCTAAATTTACTAAAATATAAAAAGGTGGTTTGCAGAATGTTTTATATGTGTGTGTCCCATTTATGTAAATAGTGCCTAATTTTAAGTATTTCTAAGTATTTAATAAATGTAAGCTACTATTATTACAATGAACATGTATCACTTTATAATCAGAAAAATCAAACTATTAAATTACAAGTCAATTTATATAGGTTAATAACTAAGATCTGTATTACTTTGTAAAAACATAATTAACATGTATATTTCTTTCTGGCAATTTTAACTTATAAAATAGTTCACAACTGTTGAGCATGGTGGTGCATGCCTATAATCTCAGCATTTGGGAGGCTGAGGCAGAAGGACTGCTGAGAGTTTTAGGCCATTTCTGAACTACAGAGTGAGGTCCTATCTCCAAAAAAACCCAATAAACTTCACAATTATACAACTGTGCACACTAAGTTACAGAAAGTGAGTAGCACTAAGAATGTTGCAACACTTCCAATTACCTAAGGGTTATATTCAGTGTGTTGGACCAAAGTAGATAGCTACGATGACACTACTATATTTAGAGTTTAAAATCATAAACAGGATCAAAGTATTTCAATAGGTATAATTAACAAGATTTCCTTAGTCAATATCTCACAATATACCAGAACTACAATTTTTGCTATACTCAGAGAGATAAACCAATACTCCAGGGTAACTCAGAAGAGACATGTAGATGAAGAACGTAAATTCAAGATATTTTCTCAGCTACTGTCTCTAGGTAGAATTTCTATTTAAAAAGAAAAAGATACTCATTTTCAATGAAAAATAGGCAACTCTAGAACTTAATTTATCAAGTTCTACAAGAGTCTCAATACTTTGAACATATAAATTGAAAGGCAAAATCCGCCGCTTTGTACTAGTTTTTGGCCTTCCTACAGCAAAGCGTAAGTTCAAAAATTAAAAAAGAGGAAAGACTTTTCCCTTCCCCTTCTCCTATGGTGCATATAACAAGGTAGTATATCTATTAAAAAGTAATAAAGAACATGAAAGTACTAGAAAATTAATTAGACAGAAAACAACAACTTTAACTTTGAAGAGTTGTCTGTTTCTCTGCATTGTGATGTACAAGATTACGAAAGTACTAACGCAAAGAAAAGTAAGAATCTGTCATGGTGAGTCTTTACCTGCATCTTGCTCCATTAGACCATTGCAGTACATAGCATGTCGCTCAATCTGTGTGGCTGGGAAGCCTTGGTCACACAGTGGGCAGGATACCTGGTTACTAGATGAAAAGGTAGAAATAGGTGTTTCCTTCTCACCATCTTCCCTGTTACCAACCTGAAGAATACATCAAATGACAATTATAAAAGGTTTAACTTATAAAGCATGTTTTTCTCCAAAAACCTACAAGAGACTTCATTCTATTATTTCATTTACTTTCAAAGAGACAATACCAATGAGATTACCAAATTCACGACACTATTAATATGGTTAATATTTATATATTCAGTGCCTGCCAACTATACATATTACACATTTAATCCTCACAATCTTACGAAGGTGCTGACATACCTTTTTATAAGAGTGTTATACAAAATAATAAAGTAACTTGCACAAAGCCATAAACAAGTAAGTGGCAGAGTTGAAATTCAAACCAAGGACTATGTGGATCCAAAACTTAGGGCATTGACAGTCCTCACTACATAAGTGTACTGTGTCTGGTGTGCTACACACTTTGGTTCTCAACAGCATCTTAAAGATACTTTCTCTATCTTATGCATGCTCACATGTGCATGCACACGCGCGCGCGCACACACACACACACACACACAGCATGATCACTGTGACTAAGATATAAGTAGTTTAAAAACAAATGAGCTCTGTCAAACAGAACATAAATAGGATTTAACTTAAGAACCTAGACCTGTCCTTAGAGCAAAAAGACATTAAAGCCTCTTGTGTTTTGTGGGTTTTTTTTTTTTTATTTATTTAAAGGCAGAAACTAATCGCTTCTCGGCTTTTTGGCTAAGATCAAGTGTAAAAGCAGAAACTAACACTCAAATATTTAAAAACTCAAAGAAATGTCATTAGTTAAGACAATTAATTCTGCTGAAGTCACTCTTAAACTAAGTGTTTTATAATCATTATTTCTCCTACAGCTGCTGGTATCTCTCAGAGGCAGCTGTATTTTACCTGTACAGGATGGTCACAGCCAAGAGCTCTGCAGTGATTAATTCCACAGTATGCATGCATGAACACTGCAGCACTAGTGCCTAACACTTGCTTCAAAGGACAGCAAAGGTTTTTGGTCCACAATTATAGGCCTAAAATATACCGCTTATAAGTGTGATGTAGCAGAAAGGCAAATTGGCCACACAAATAACAAGTTAGTTTCTACAACTGCCAGAATATATCCTATTTTAAACATTTGCTTTCTTCAAAACACATATTCTTAAAAGGGGAAAAATAAAGATGAGAAAGGCATTTGCAGTGGTTGAGATCTTATACTAAACCAGGCTCTGCCAAGCATTGTGTACATATCCATCCCTCATGACAAACCAACTGGACAGAAGCTCTGGTGTTACAGAAGGGGAAATTGAGGCTTGGGAAGGCAAAGTAACATGTTGACCAAAAAGTTTAAAAGTAAACAATCTAGACTCAAACCTAGGTTTGTTTCACATCAAAACTTTCAGTAATTTCATTCTGCTGAGAAGGAAAATCTTCCCTTCCACTTTGTTTCTGAAAGCTGATCCTGCAGGCATTGGGAGATTATCTGATTTTACTCTTCTCTAGAAGGTGGAAATGGGCCGAGGATTTAGCTCAGTGGTTCCACCACCTACCTCACAAGCGCAAGGGCCCGAGTTCAATCCCCAGTACA